ATAGTACTAATAAAAATATATACAAAATTAAATTGAGTGAATTTCAGTGTTACCGTCACAATCGAGTTTCAATTAAAAATGTACGGCGAGAAGACCGTCGTCACCGAAGTTATTATTTAATAATAATTATTATTAGATATAGGATATTCCAAATTATACTCCATTATATTTTAAACTGAAAAATAATTATTTACACAGGACAGATTAAATGGATTGACCATGTTGTCGGTATACCGTGATATAAATTTAACTCCTGAAGAAGTCATTGATGAGTTGGGACAAAAACCCAGGAAAATAGACATTGTTTTATAATGAAAATAAATGTTAGTTAAACGGCATATTATTTTGATTTATCAATGTATAATATATATATAATTTTTTATATGTAAGCCCCCCTCCCCCCATTGAAAATAGCTGTGTACGCCACTGATCATAGTTATTCAAAGGTTTACTAATGTAGAGGGGGGCCCAAACAAGTTCGGAAAATTGTAAATTAAGGAAAACATTGTATGTGTTAAAAAAGCAAATAAAAAATAATGCAATTTTTAGTGAGTGAAATAGTTAGCAACGTTTGCCGTTCATACATTCCAGGCTGAAAAAAAATCGCTAATCCGCCATTGCTAGTAAGAACTCTAGATTAGATACCTAAATATAAAAACCAATAGTTTCCTTGATTTTACTAATATTTAATTAAAAAGGATAATGGCCTTATGTATAAACGATTGCTAGATGTTGTATATAGTACAAAACAATAATATTTGTTGGCTTGTTGCATGTCTTTTGAGAAAAATATAGATTTAATGTGAGTAATATTGTGACTGGACATATTTTTTCTTTTGTTAATTGATTTTAAGTTTTTCTGCTTACATTAGTCTATCTAATTCTCTTTAATTTATTTAATTTTACCTAACTTGTGTCCATTAAATGTTATAATTTAATACTTATTATATAATTATGGTAGATTGTACAATTATATACGTACCTATAAGTGATTTCAAATTAGCCTTTTATTTTATTTAATCAATTAATAATTGCTAAACTTGTTTCTTTCACAATTTTATTTTTATTTCTATTAGAAAGAATATTATAAGAATATTGAATTGTCTTGATTTAAAATAACAACATAATATTTATTATTTATAACATATAATATAAGCAACAATAAATAGACAAAAAAATTTAATAGGACGTCATATACTCGCATGTGTTGTCTCCGTCTTATACAAGAGCGTAACATAGCAAATTGTACTCTCAGCAGATCACGTTTAGCTCCGATAGTTTAAAAATTAGAGTGAATTGACCTCTTACAACATTTAAAGGTTAGGTATTATTAGGTAACGGTTTATTATTTAAACGACCTCATGAGCTTTTTATTATATTTTAATTTCTAAACGAGTTATAAGTGGTATTTTAAAATTAAAAATTGTATATGGATCTTAAAATACTCATAACTCACTCTAACTTTTAAGCTAGCGGAGCTGAACGTGATCTGCTGAGAGTACAATTTGATATGTTACGCCGTTTTAAGACGAAGGCGTGATGTGCAAATGACGTCCTCTTATTAAAAGGATGCTACACGCGCGTTTGTTGTCTCCGTCTTACCAACTTACTACATAGCATATTTTCGTCTCACTAAGTTTGAATAGTGTGCCGTCAGTTTTGATATTAGAGTGAATTGACCTATTATCAAAGGTTTAGGTAAGAACATTATCTATGCTTAAGCGTTAGCGAATTTTCAATATTTTCTTTTTCAAGTAAGATACGAGTATATGAAATAACACTAATCAAAAATACGCATATCAAGCTTGAAAATTACAATATCTAAAAATTTGCTGACTCTTAAGCATAGATAATGTTCTTACCTAAAACTTTCATAATAGGTCAATTCACTTTCATATAAAAACTAACAGTACACTATTGAAACTAGTGAACGAAAATGTTCCATGTCGTGACTCGTGAGTGTGTATGACGGAGATAACAAATTCATGGGAAGCATCCTTTCAAGTAATTTAACATGTAACACAAGCCAAATAGTACAACTTAATCACCTACTTTTTTTTAGATTACTTAACAATTTACAACCAATTTTATTGTCGAAATGTATCAATTTTTTTATTTACAAAATATGTGGGTTTGTACTAACTGCGTCGATCGAAAACGGCTGGACAGATTAGGCTGATTTTTATTTTTATTTTGTATTATTTCAAATGAGGTTTTTACGATAAGAAAAATTGGAAGTTTGGAAAAGTAG